ATGGGTAGAATAAGTTTAATCAAAATGAATGTTTTACCCAGAATATTATATCCCATACAATTGTTGCCTCTCAGGATCAACAGGAAAACATTCTCAGAGATTGAGGGATATCTTTCTAAATTTATATGGCGTGGGAAGAAATCTAAAGATACAGATTTTACAACTACCTACAGATGAGGGGGGGGGGGGGGGGTGCCAGGCACTTCCTATCCTTTTATATTATTACTGGGCTTGCCATGCACAAATAATCTCAGGGTGGTTACACTCCTTTCTGTACCCAGACGAGCCACCAGTGGATACTTGGTGCTGTGACCCTCTTTTGCCTCTTAGTATTTTTTCTATTGATCTGGTTGACCTTCCTCTTGGTGTCAGAAATTATTTTATTTTGATGACTAAACTTAAGGTTTGGCATAATATTGCTGCCCACGTCGGAAGAAGAGGTTTTTCTAGTGCACTGCAGCCTCTAATTAGGAATAAAGCTTTCCCCCCAGTATTGGCATTAGTATATTTGATGCTTGGCATTCTAAAAATATAAGATTTATTTGTGATCTGTTTGAAAGGGGTAGTTTTATGGCCTTTAATCAAGTTCAAATTAAGTATAATTTACCACAGAAACACTTCTTTGGGTTCCTACAAGTAAGACATTTAGTAAATTCCCTTAAATTTCCAGCCAATCAGTCAGTTTTAAATCCTATTGAAAGCTTTCTTCTTAAATTTAATGAGCAAATCATCACAAAAAAGAAATTAATCTCTCTTTGTTATGGGAAATTATTGTCTTTGAATTTTGTAACCACTGATAAGGCCAGGGTTCGATGGGAGACCGACCTCAAAGGTCAGCTTAGTACAGAAGCATGGTCCAAAACTTTTAGATTTGCCAAGAAATTGTTTTCCTGTAACAGACTCCAGGAAAGCCTTTACAGAATTTTACATAGACTCCAGCGAACGCCAGAGTTTCTCAACAAAATTCATCCTCAGATTTCTCCTCTTTATGTAAAGTGCAATACGGGTGTGGGGACCTATTATCATTGCATATGGCAATGTCCTTTAATTTTTAGATTTTGGGAAAATATTGCTAAAGAGCTTCGCTCCATCTTTCATCAAATGATCCCACTGAACCCTGTGCTGTTCGTTCTGGGTCTTTCTATAGAAGGGCTCTCTCTGTCTTCTGTACAGATGCTTTTGTTAGGTAAACTTTTACATTTAGCGAGGCGATGTGTACTGTTTCAATGGATTCAGAGACAGCCTCCCACTGTTACACAATGGTACAGAGAAACGTTTAAGGTGCTGCCAATGGAGCGCCTCAGTGCCGTCATAAAGGGCAATTGTAATGCATTCTGTAGGACATGGCAGCCGTTGCTTGATCACTTACCTTGTGACCTTGCTGTGTTATTACATAAAGGGGGGTCACATTTTGTTTTTAAGCACAATGATTAATGTCTGTATTCCCCCCCCCCCTTTTTTTTTCTTCTTGTTAATTTCCCTTGACTTCAAATGTGAAATGCTGTACATATTATTACCCAGACATATATATTTGTAACTCATGTACCTGTATTTGTTTTTCTTTTTCTTATTTGTATTTGGCTGTGCTGATTTGTTGCTATTTGTGTTGTTCTAAAAACTTAATAAATCATTGTTAAAAAAACAAAACAAAAACAACACAAGTTTTATAAATGTCTGATATTTTATTGTTTTTTTGTGTGTTTTTATAGTTTTTTTATTGTTATTTTATTGTTTTGTTTTGTTTTTTGTATATCCATGAAACAATGAGGTTAACACGTGACTCCATTTGCTTTACAAGCTTTAAGGAAGGTGTTAACCTCAGATTGTTTCATGGATTTTTTTTTTACCTTCAGCAACCGAATGACTGGTGGTTACATGTACACATTACTATGTAGATTATTACAATAAGCAAAATTAATTTCGCATTTCTATTAGATCTAGGGCTGCAACAACGAATCGATAAATTCGATGAAAATCGATTACTAAAAGCGTTGGCAACGAATTGCGTCATCGATTCGTTGTGTCGCACAACTCTTCCAAAAGCGCCCCCCCTTCCCGCCTGCCGTTGCGCGCAGACCAGAGCAAGTCAGATCAGCGCGAGGGAGAGCCGCAGATCAGCGCGAGGGAGAGCCGCAGATCAGCGCGAGGGAGAGCCGCAGATCAGCGCGAGGGAGAGCCGGCAGATCAGCGCGAGGGAGAGCCGCAGATCAGCGCGAGGGAGAGCCGCAGATCAGCGCGAGGGAGAGCCGGCAGATCAGCGCGAGGGAGAGCCGCAGATCAGCGCGAGGGAGAGCCGCAGATCAGCGCGAGGGAGAGCCGCAGATCAGCGCGAGGGAGAGCCGCAGATCAGCGCGAGGGAGAGCCGGCAGACTTGAGCTGCTGCGAACCGGTTCCGCATTGTTGCACAGCGATCCAGGCAGCTGCTTCCAGCGCACGGTCCATTCTCAAAGTGGCGCAACCAAAAAACTATAATTAGCACACGATCGTTCATGTCCGCACATGTTCTCTATTTTCTGTCTTATTTGTGCCTGAAGCGCGCTACTGCGGAGCTCATCACCTGTGCTGTGGTGATGTCACCTCACGCAGCATCGAAAACGCGCTCTGCGCTTTTCGGTCAGGAGATCCCTTTGACCTGCTCAAAAGTAACTGATGAGGTGAAAAGGTAAGAATCCAGGCAACAGATTTTCTGGAGAATTAAGAGGAGATGCAGGAAGATGAGAGACAGACAGGACAGGAAAATAGTTCAATAAAAACAAGAAAACAAAACAAAAGTAAAATGTAGGTAGATTTATCTCCACTACACGTTTTTACCAGTAAAAAACAATAAGTTATACACATGTCATATTTATACATCTGATACAATTCAGATCACCTTCAAAACTCAGTCACACACCCAGGGCCGTTTCAAGACATTTTGGGGGCCAAGGCAAAATGCCCCCCCCCCCCCCCCCAATAACTGGGCTCCCCAGAAGCCTCTGTGTAATTCATACCCTCTCCAGTAGTGTTAGTTATATGGTGTTTATAAAAGCCCCTCAGACATTACTGACATGCTCTAATATTATCAGATGAAAAACTAAATTATCAGACATGCTGTCTCATCTGCTTCTTTTATAAACTTGCAAAAAGTAACAAAACCATTTGAAAGCCACTATTTGTGGATTCTCTGAAAGTTTCCATGGAGTTTGTGACAACTTATTTTTTCATTGATCCTATCGTCTAATCTCACAGTTGAAACAAGCATCCTTAATAATCTGTGCACAGGAAGCTTACCGATGCTGTAGTAAAACAAAAGGTATAATAATTTATTATTAATAAAACCTTGTTGCAGCACTAAAGCAGAAAAATTAGATTTTGCATTAAATATGCAAAATATTTACATATGAATTGTTTTAGAGCCCTTTAATTGGCAGAATCTGATATTAATTTAGTTCTTACAAAAAATGGGTCCCAACATGGTTTGTGTGGCGTTGCCATAGTGTGACGTCATAGGCACAGATCCCCTGTCCTCTTGTTTGGAAATGGAAATATGGTCACCCTACATTAAACAAACTGTCCACCCGGGCTTTTGCACTGCACAGAGACGCTTCGCTGCCTACGACTGAACGTCAGTTGAGAGTCAGTCTCATGCAGACTGACCAATGAAGAGAGGGCCTCAAGTTAAGACCCTCTCCTCATTGGTCAGTCCACACGAGGTGGGTCAAAGGTTACTCTGGGCGGGTTACGTGTTGTCAGGCATTCAAGTATTGAGTATATTTACTGCATATTACAGTAAAATATTCTGTATATAACTTGGACCAAGCATTTTAGGTCACAGATAGATGTAGCTTAGGGTCTCTGTCTATACACCTTATAAGACAATTTAGGTGATGGCATGTTGTTTTTCTGCTATTGAACTGTTTTCTAATAATGTTGTGTTAAATAAAGTGAAGGAAGGAGAGAAATAACGTTTCCCTAGCAGTTTTTAAAAATTTCCCCATGTAATCCGATTAATCGATTAATCGTGTCGAGACCCCATCCGATTAATCGATTATCCAAATAATCGTTTGTTGCAGCCCTAATTAGATCTATTAACTTCCTCGTGAGCATAAAGTGGGTGTAAAATATTAAAAGTGGGTTATTTGGGTTAATAAAATAGAATTGAAGTGTTGTCAATGTGCATTTGTTTAATAAGCCTGATTAGGCAGGTACCATCTGAGAATGTAAATTATACTGTTATTTTAATTATTCTGATTTTTCCGTTGTTAACAAGTCCCTTTGTCAGACATTTATTTACTGAAGAGTTACATGTAGAATTTACTGGTATTAGTTATTAGTACCAGTGAATCCCAGCTATCATATTTCTGATCATGGACGTAATTTTGGGGGGACATGTCCCCCCCACTTTTTCCAAAGTCAAGTTTTGACCCCTGCACTTTTTACCATCCAAAAACAATATTACGCTATATTAAATTGACACTGGTTGAGCTCTAGGACCAAGTGGAAAACAACCGTTTGTGTTGAAGCCTGTTTCCCATTAGAGCATACTGTAAAGATACCCCCCACTTCTAAAGTGAAAATTACGTCCATGTTTCTGACGTTGCCTCAGCTGTGACGTTGATGGACGACGCACTGGACTAAATCTGTTAACTTTTCCGATTGGACTGATTTAAATGTGCTGATGAACTGAATGATAGAAAATATTCATTGAAATGTTTGAAAAGCTGTGGTTTGTTTGAGAGCCAATCAGATTCCAGGGATGAATGCGGAAATGATAGCTGCTAACAGGAAACTAACAAGCTAAGCTAACGCCAAAACCAAAGGAAATGCTTGTGTGGGATTTCAAAATAAGGTTAAAATAAAACGTCTGAAGCATTTTTATGGTGCATAATCGTTCTGTGAATTGAATATGTTTCAAAATTACGAAGGTGTAATAATCTATTTTTATCAAAGTAAAATAAAAACAATGTATTGCATGTTAAAAAAAACGTTTTCTATTATTTTTGACATTCTGAACCGGAAGTTCTGCCTCAATATAAATAAATTGATGGCGGTGAAATCGTAGCAGCATCTGTAGGCTCGTATTACTTTACAAAATAATTAACACATCTAAAATCAACCATCAGATCTTCTAAAGTTATTTTTAATGAATATTTCCGAACGATGCAGTCCGACACGCTGTTACACATCGCTAATTTCAGCACGCTTTTTGTGTGCATGGTGCTAAAGTTCCCACAGATCTTCGTCCTGATGCGGGCCAAGTGTTCCACGGGAGTCAGCCTGAACAGTCTGGTCCTGGAGCTGATCGGGTGGGTCAAACACACGATTCTGTCTGTTTGGGAACATTTTCAGGCCTAAAGCATTTAAGTTTCGGTAAGGAGATGGTGCGCGGTGGTTCTGATGTGATGTCTTCCTGTTCCTGCCTGCAGATGCGCACAGTTCAAATCAGTTCTACCTTCTGACTGCAGAAAAAACTAACTTGTAATGAAAATAACCCCACAGCTGAAAGCGTTTGCTTCCACTCAGATTTGTGATGTTAAATCAGCGCAGTGGATAAATGATTCAGCTGGCTCTTAAATGGGTCAAGGGGATGAAACTGGCCTCTGTGAGGCTGAATGGTGCTCTTCTCTGTGCCTGGCAGCATCTGCACGACCCTAAATGTCTCCTGATGAATAAAAATCAACATGAGAACTCTTAGGTGTTTTTTCTGGTGCCCACAGTAATGTGACATGTGGTTATTATAGTAATATCAACCATAATATGGTTATTTTATGTGAAACCCTCAGCTGTCACTTCGGTGAGTTACATGTTCCTGTAAGTTGTCAACTTCCCTTAAAATGAATTGAATCCAGCTGTGTAACCCAACACCTGTTTGTTTACAGGTTCATTGTTTTTGTCACGTATCAGATGTACTATGACTACCCTCCTCCTACTTACCTGGAATATCCCATCCTCATCGCTCAAGGTTGGTCATTAACTGTCCTCAAAGAGGTTTTTGAGTAGTTTTCTGCAGAATTTTAAAAACAAACAGTTTTGTTTGTGTTCCTGTGCTACAAAAGGCAGAAAAGTGCACCAGGTCTTTTTTCTGTTTATTTTGCACGTGTCTCCTGTAAAAGCAAAAAGCAGCAGGCTGATTGCTCCAGTTGTTCGCCTAGTGCCTTTGTGGGTCACAAACCACTTAAATGGATGCAACAAGTTCATTGTAAGGTTTTCAAGTTGCAATTTTAGTCCTAGAGGGTTTATCTTTGCAATTTATCCAAACCCTCCCAAAGTTTCCGCGTTTGCACGTCTCGTTCACATTCAAACTGAGATTTCTAAAAATGGACTTTTAGTGCTTCCAGTCAGAAGTGCTGAAGTCGTCTCTGCTTTGTGCACGCTCCCACTATTACTCTGTGCTCTAGAAACAAAGTTTGCTATCTGAGACCTTTTGTCATATTTTATCTTAATCCTGTCACCATTAAACTTGGGATTTGTTTTAAAATAATCAATTAACTTAAAGACATTGTAAATAATATAAGAAGAAAATGAGTTCTGGAAGAATCTTTATGAAAGCCAAGAATGGTTTAACTTTGCATTTTGATGTGATCATTAATGTTGATGTTGTCGCCCCCTAGTGGCACTGCAGTTGTACACGTTTGTTTCTGGCCCAGCTCTCATGCTGATCTGTGCCTCCTTCATTGATCTTCAAGGATCAATAGTTTTTTTTAATCTAGTGTGAAAACACTCAGATTTTATTTAAACACTTTTGGGGAAGAGGCAGGAAACAAACTAAAGAAAAGTGAGGATACTTACTGAAATGACCTCGTCAGCAGCCTTTAAAATGAAACTGGAGCTCAGCCTGAAGCGTTTTGTTACTATCACGTTTTTGTCCTCAGACGTCATCGTCCTGCTCCTGATTCTTCATTACAACGGCAGCCTGCGGCAGAGCCTCATCTACGCCGTGCTGTATCCTTCCACCTTCTGATTTTAAAGGATGTTAAAATGCTCCATTTGGTCTTGAGGGCCCCCTTAACGGACTGCGTTCAGGCTGTTTGGAGGCTGGAGGCTCCTCACCGTGGAGAGGTGGATCATTGATCTGGCGATGGTAATAAATCAGTGTCAGATAAATAAAGAACTGCCATGACAGCAGTCGGGAGCAATGAGGTGGCCATTTAAGGAGGAAATGACCTCATTTCACCAGGTGGATGACAGAAACACCTGGATGGTTCCAACATGTCTGCAGGCTTTTTGCATTTAAACATACGAGAGCAGAAACGTTTAAGGAAGACACAGAATGAAACTTTCTACCATTTGATATTTATGCCAGAACCTGACCTCGTCTCTCTTCCCAGAGCTTGTGCACGTTCATTAGTGCTGCCAGCAAGTTTGCACAGCTGCAGTGTCTCTGGAGCTCTAAAGACGCCGGGCAGGTCAGCGCTCTCTCCTGGGCTATGGCCACCTACACATGCATGGGTGAGTGAAATCAGCTCCATTAGAGAAAATCACACTTTAAACGGCAAGATGCACCTGTCGCTCTGAGGGTGACTCCTGACCTCTGACCTTAAACAGTTCCTACTGGAAAACCCTCCAAAAGTTAGAAATGTGCAAGAACGTTGTGGAAACACTAACTCACCAGTTCCTACAAGTCGTCCTCCTTGGATTACGCCCAGCTCATGCATATTTATGATGGTGTTTACAGTTCATGAATCAGCAGTTGATCACTTCATTAATAAACATCAGACGCGTAATAATGAGCGTGTCACTGACTCGGCGTTGTCTTTGTTCAGCTCGGATCTACACCACCACGGTGACAACTGGAGACATGCAGGGTAAGTAACGGCTGTGGGGTGTACAGATTCCCAAATGGGAATATTTAATAAACATGGTGTTAATGTGGAGGCCGGCAGTTCTGCTCCAAACAGGAAACTATAAACTTCTTTATGAGACACTAAAGAGACTCAAAATCCTTGACCGAGTGGGAAAAGCCTCTTCTATAATGTATCTGGCACAAATAAGGCCAATAAAAGACACATTTTCCTGTTTAAGTTCAGCAAAGTTAAATCTCCACAATAATCAGAAACTAAACTAGAATTAGCAACCAAGCGTACACTTGTGTTGAATTTCTAAACAATCATTTAAAAATAAATAAAGAACAAATCTAAAGCAAATAGTGTAAAAACAATGAAAGCACTTTTACGTCCACTTTTTTCCCCGGAACTGCGCTGCTCTGGGTGGCTGCATGTTGGAGTAGCTCTGTTGACTATATGTAAGTTTTGCCTTTTCTTGGACATTTTTTCCTTCTAGTTTCTCAAGAAAAACTGTATTTTTTGGACACTTTACTTTTCTGTTTCTGGTGCTGTGAAGCTTGGAGGATTTTTACTGCTATTTTTTTAGCTTTTTTCACTTTTTGAGCATTTGTTATGATGCGTAACCATGGCAACAAGATGGTTTACAATAGGGAGCAGCTGATTAACATGGGAAAGGCTGAAATAATACCCCAACTGAAGCCACAAATCCCAAATGAGCTAAAACGTGAGAAGCGTGGGTGCAGAGCGGGAGCAACACGGAGACAGAGAAAGAGGAAATTCAAACCATCTCTTCCATCGATCATAATGGGCAATGTGAGATCACTGGCCAACAAGATGGAGGAACTCCAAGCCCTTTCAAGGACTCAGCCAGAGTTTCTGCAGTTTTGGAACCGCTGGAGGAGATAATGCAAAGGATTCTCCAGAGAATCAAGTAAATGATGGACAACCCTGAGCGTTCTCTTCACAAGACTGTCCGACAACGGAAGAGTGTCTCCAGTCAGAGGCTTCTTCAGTTTGGCTGCAACACTGACCGCTACTGGAGATCCTTCCTGCCAACAGCCATTGTAATATACAACAACTCTTTGATGACTTGATTATTATTATTGTTCTGAGCTACTACAGCAGTCAGTTTCCCTCTGGGATTAATTAAGTGTTTTTGAATTGAATTGATTGAAAACAAAGATGGCGGCAGAGGATAGAGGTGAACATAAACACCCCCTAGTGGCTGGCTGCAGTGTTGGCTGTAAGCCCCGCCCCCTACATCCGAGAATAAACGTTTCTTAAAAAACAAACTAGTTTACCACTAAATATGATCTAATTTTCTTTGAAACAAAAGTAAATGAGTAAAGCAGGACTCTATTTATCTAGGTCAGTTTGCGACCGAGGACAAATAATAAATCAGCTCCAGATCCTTCAGTTTGTTCACAACTTTTCTCTTTGTCACAGTTTTGGTGCGATTTGTGGCGATGACCCTGCTGAACCTGTGGGTGCTGCTGACTGTGATCTACTACCAGCGACGGACCGGCAGCAGCTCCAAGAAAACGGATTAATCAGAGCCCAGCGGGTCACGATCTGATGGTTTTGAGCGTCTGTCGAGTCCTGAAGCAGCGTATTAGTCACTGTAGTTAATGAGTTTACGCGCACAGAAAGAGATCTGCCGCTGAAGCATAACTAAAGGGGTGAGCCAGTCATTTACATCAGGTGAGATGGGAGGAGGGGCCAAACCCAGAAGTCAGATTATGAGAAAACGTCACAAGTGTTGACTTTTTCAATTATTTTAAAATAGAAAATTTAGATTTTTTCTTGTAAATTTACAGTTGAAGAAACTCAGGAAACATCAAAGTCATTTCAGATACTTTTCTGAACGCTTTAACATATTTCTGATTAAGAATTTTTAACTTCTGTTTTGTTTTTCCAAGTTTATCTTTTATTGCAATTTTTGATCCACTTTTTCATGCAAATGCAACTTTCTTGGAATATTCCTGTTTTTCCTCCATAATCTGTGAATTTCTGACGGAATATTTTAGGTACAGTGACCCTTACGAGCCGCCGTAGCATTCCAACATTTTAACATTCCAGTTTTCTGAATCTATTCTGAGCAATAATGTCCATCCTGGTGTCGTACGTACTGTTAACAGCTTTTCTACCGTTTACATGACCAAATGTTTTACTTCCTGCTGCCAGAAATAAACCTGTTTATAAATAACCCCTGGTGTTTAGGAGTCTGGTTCGAGACAAAATGATGCGTGGAACAAAAGCACATCTGTGTGTTTATTGTTTTAAGTGGTCATCTTCATCATCATGGAGCTGTCTGGATGTAAAGCCCTTAAACACAAAGTGGACAAGGCCGTATAAATAATATAATGTGCTGTACGGCCTGTAAAATATATACTTACTGTGTATAAAACATGCTTCTGGGTTAAAGAAGAGCACACACACTCAGTTTACTCTCCTGCTCTATAAACCATGCGCGCACACACACACACACACACACGCGCGCGCGCACACCAATGTGTCCAAACTCTGACTTTAGTTACTTTTAATACAAAAATATCAGTTCCAACACTTTTTAGAAAACACCGGCTGCTGCTCAGCCTAACGAAACCTCAAAATTCAGTTTTTATTTTCACTACAACAAAAACTCCTGCGAGTGGAAAAGCATGCGGGTTCACTCGGAGCAGCTGGTGGTGAAAACGGGTCCGTCGGGTCGGTTCGGTGAGACGATGCTTCCGTAAAAAACAAACGTACATTCAGGTCAGAAAAGCGTGCCGTTCAGTAAACATCAACTCTGGGAGACAAGTGCAGGCTTGTGGGATTCGGCGCTCCGTTCAACAGGTGGAAGTGCGCTTCAGCGTTGGGAATGTGAACAACAGGAACTCTGGGAATTATTCGCTCCGATCCTTCATGCTCACCTTGGTTTCTTGTACCTGATTCACCTGAAAGAACTGTGGAGAATCACGAAACATCGTCCTGGGCGGACTAACGTCTCGTGTTCCTCAGTAAACTTTTATTATTTTCTTCACCACCTTTAGGCGAAGTGTCTGTTTTTGGCCACAAGAGTTCCTGGTCGTTGAGGTAAGCGAATCTCCTCGTTCAGAGAGAAGAACGAGCTCCTTCGGCATCCAAAAACACTCGTTCAGAAGCCAATCAGATCGCACGGATAGCCGAGGGGGCGTGGCTCCCACAGGTTGGAGGAGGAAGTGGTGAAGTGATTTGGAGTTCAGCGTGTTGATCTGCAGACAGAGCTTCGGAGGAAACGAGCCGCTGAACCTCAGCGGAGCGTCGCGCCGGTTAGCTGGAGGAAGAGAGACGAGCAGACGCCAAGTTAAACGAGTGATGTCATCATCCTGTTCCAAACATGCCGAGTAAGCAGAAAACGGCTTCCTTCTTCTGTTGGGGTGAAAACGGCAGAATCGTTTTTAAAAAGATGAATCAGATCAGCTTTAAGCTTATAATTGAGTTTTTAATCTAAAGTTAGAAATTATTTTCACCCCAAAAGAGGCGGAGCCAGAGAATGTGTTTCATTAACCAGACGTTTGACTCAAGTCCAGATGAAACCAGTCCCGCTAAAATCAGACGGGATAATAATCAGATCCACCCGGTGAGAAAGTTCCCAAACTCAGACTTCCTTTAATCCACCGTGCTTTTGTTTTCCTACCAGAAAATCAAACAAACTGGGATTACAGGAGCCGTCACTGGTACCAGGTGCTGCCCGACTCTCCTCGCTTCACTCTGAAGCCGTTTGATCGGCGCGGGCTGAAATCACACGCGTTTTAACACAGGTCAAAGGTCACCAGTCAGTCCAGTTACAGCAGACTGGGAGGAAAACTGACCCAAAATCAGAAATCTACAGAGGAAACATTTCAGATCTCACAAAGGAAACACGACTAACTGACTCCAGGTCTGCTTGCTTCACCTGGAGTCGCTGGCGTGCTTGTGAGCCGCCTCAGCTCGGTCTGAACGGGAACAGCGCTCAGCGTTACCGTACTAGTTCAACAGAAATCCTCGTCCAGTTCCAGTCCTGCAGACCGAGCTGCTCCAGTCTGAAAGGACGAAACCGGGTCTCTGCAGCTCATCAGGACCAAATCAACACACCGCCCTTCAGAATAACTTTTAGCTTAAAGTTGGCTCATTTTTAAGATTCGCACCATTTTTTTTCTACATGATGGAACAAAAACCTCAAAGTTCTTGGATCTAACCGCCGACTGAAGAGGCTTTAACGTTAGCTGCAGTCAACCACCTCAGTAGGAAGAAAGACTAACTGACAGGATCGACAAGCTAACAGCTAGTCTGAGAGGAGCCAGCTCCATGCATCTAAATAAACGTCAAGTAAAAGATGTTTTGAATCCCTAGAGCTTAACGGGTGTAAAGACGTCTGAATAAAAGGTTCATCATCATTCTTCCTGCCCTACGTGTAGATCTGATGACTCGTCGCCCACCTGCCCTTGCTGGATGGGTGCTGTCGACTGGGCCTCCTCATGGATTGGCTGGTCTGGACCTTCATGGCGATACGTGGTGAGGAGCGGGGAAGCGTCTCCGAGGCCAGGGGCTTCTTAGGAATCTTCTTGACCAGCCGGCTCACCCACTTCTGCTGCTCCTCCTGGGAGGCGGCCAGCAGCAGCAGGTTCTTGGCCGTCGACACGTCGTAGTTCACTGGAGAGAAAGAAGGATCGTGAAAAACTTGAAGGAAAGTGGCGCAGGTGAGAAGTGCAGCCTCGTACCTTTACAGGGAGCAATGATCTCCTCCTTCTTGTCCATGTGGTCCTTGTGACACTTGATGTGGCAGCGCCGGCACTCCAGAGCCGGCGGCGGCTTGAACATGTTCCACAGCGGTTTGGTGCACGCCTCACAGTTGGTGGGGAAGTGGTAGAGGGTGGGGATGAACTCGTGACCTTTGTGGCAGAAGTAGCTGGATTTCTCCCCGACGGGCAGCGGCTCCACAGGAAACTCCGGCTCCTTTTTGCTCTCGCCTTCGTTGGCATAAAGAATCTTAAAAGTCCAAGAACCAAATGTTAGGTTTTATAATGTGCAGATGTACGTCCAGCAGTTCGGAGGCAGGACCAACCTGGAATATCCTGGGAATCTCCTTGGCTTCAGCTCGGTACACATCAGTCTGAGTGACGGGCCTCACGTGGAAAAGTTTACTGCAGTAAGTAGAAACTTGTCATTATCTGAGCAAACCTCCAGGAAATAAGCTGCGACGGAGACGGGAAGGTTGGGCGGTATGGCCTAAAGTCAGTATCACCATATATTGAGGATTTCACATGGATAACGATAAATGGACGATAACTACAGGTATGCGCAGAAACAAAGGTTGTCCACTAGAGGGGGCTGTCACGTGTATCACGTTAAGGTGAATGTTGCCGACCTACACACCTTTTCTTTTTTTAAGTATCAGATTTATTGACATGGGAAAAATTATCTCGATAGGAGTCAGAAATTTTGACAACGATAACTTTTCCATTTATTGCCCAGCCCTAGGTTCTACTCACTCGATATCAAGAACCATGCAGGGAATTGACTGCTCCCGGTCCTGTTCGCTGTTGTAGAACAGAACCTTCTTGCTGCTCACGACCACATACTGCAGGGACACGAGACGGGAATCAGCCAGAAATCAGGGAAAAGAAGGAATGAAGTCAAATGGATCAGACCTTTTTCTCCCATCCAAACTTCTTGGTGTTGTTTCTGACGGGAAGGGAGAGCCAGCCCTCCAGCCTGGACTCTGGGAGGAAGAATCAGAGAGTCAGGACAGAAACACCGAACGCAGCCCATAGCTGGGTTCTGAACAGGTCTCTAAGCGGGTCTGGTATGGAATGGGTCTGGTTCTGAACGGGTCTGGTACTGATCGGGACTGGTACTGAACGGGTCTGGTACTGATCGGGTCTGGTACTGAACGGGTCTGGTACTGATCATGTCTGGGTCTGAACGGGTCTGGTACTGATCGGGTCTGGTACTGATCGGGTCTGGTGCTGATCAGGTCTGGGTCTGAATGGGTCTGGTACTGATCGGGTCTGGGTCTGAACGGGTCTGGTACTGAACGGGTCTGGTACTGAACGGGTCTGGTACTGATCGGGTCTGGTGCTGATCATGTCTGGGTCTGAACGGGTCTGGTACTGATCGGGTCTGGTACTGATCGGGTCTGGTACTGATCGGGTCTGGTGCTGATCAGGTCTGGGTCTGAATGGGTCTGGTACTGATCGGGTCTGGGTCTGAACGGGTCTGGTACTGAACGGGTCTGGTACTGATCGGGTCTGGTGCTGATCAGGTCTGGGTCTGAACGGGTCTGGTACTGATCGGGTCTGGTACTGATCGGGTCTGGTGCTGATCAGGTCTGGGTCTGAATGGGTCTGGTACTGATCAGGTCTGGGTCTGAATGGGTCTGGTACTGATCGGGTCTGGGTCTGAATGGGTCTGGTACTGATCGGGTCTGGGTCTGAACGGGTCTGGTACTGATCGGGTCTGGTACTGAATGGGATGGTTTTGAACGGGTCTGGTTTTGAACGGGTCTGGTACTGATCGGGCCTGGGTCTGAATGGGTCTGGTACTGAATGGGTCTGGGTCTGAACGGGTCTGGTACTGAATGGGATGGTTTTGAACGGGTCTGGTTCTGAATGGGTATGGTTTTGAACGGGTCTGGTACTGATCGGGTCTGGTTCTGAACGGGTCTGGTACTGATCGGGTCTGGGTCTGAACGGGTCTGGTACTGATCGGGTCTGGGTCTGAATGGGTCTGGTACTGAATGGGTCTGGGTCTGAACGGGTCTGGTACTGATCGGGTCTGGTTCTGAACGGGTCTGGTACTGATCGGGTCTGGGTCTGAACGGGTCTGGTACTGATCGGGTCTGGGTCTGAACGGGTCTGGTACTGAATGGGTCTGGTACTGAATGGGTCTGGGTCTGAACGGGTCTGGTTCTGAACGGGTCTGGTACTGATCGGGTCTGGTTCTGAACGAGTCTGGTTCTGATCGGGTCTGGGTCTGAACGGGTATGGTACTGATCGGGTCTGGGTCTGAATGGGTCTGGTTCTGATGGAGTCTGGCTCTGATCGGGTCTGGTACTGAATGGGTCTGGTACTGAATGGGTCTGGGTCTGAACGGGTCTGGTTCTGAACGGGTCTGGTACTGATCGGGTCTGGTTCTGAACGGGTCTGGTACTGATCGGGTCTGGGTCTGAACGGGTCTGGTACTGAACGGGTCTGGGTCTGAATGGGTCTGGGTCTGAACGGGTCTGGTACTGATCGGGTCTGGGTCTGAACGGGTCTGGTACTGATCGGGTCTGGGTCTGAACGGGTCTGGGTCTGAACGGGTCTGGTACTGATCGGGTCTGGGTCTGAATGGGTCTGGGTCTGAACGGGTCTGGTACTGATCGGGTCTGGTTCTGAACGGGTCTGGTACTGATCGGGTCTGGGTCTGAATGGGTCTGGTACTGATCGGGTCTGGGTCTGAACGGGTCTGGTACTGATCGGGTCTGGGTCTGAACGGGTCTGGTACTGATCGGGTCTGGGTCTGAACGGGTCTGGTACTGATCGGGTCTGGGTCTGAATGGGTCTGGTACTGATCGGGTCTGGGTCTGAACGGGTCTGGTACTGATCGGGTCTGGGTCTGAACGGGTCTGGTACTGATCGGGTCTGGGTCTGAACGGGTCTGGTACTGATCGGGTCTGGGTCTGAATGGGTCTGGGTCTGAACGGGTCTGGTACTGATCGGGTCTGGTTCTGAACGGGTCTGGTACTGAACGGGTCTGGGTCTGAACGGGTCTGGTACTGATCGGGTCTGGGTCTGAACGGGTCTGGTACTGATCGGGTCTGGGTCTGAATGGGTCTGGGTCTGAATGGGTCTGGTTCTGATGGAGTCTGGCTCTGATCGGGTCTGGTACTGAATGGGTCTGGGTCTGAACGGGTCTGGTTCTGATCGGTTATCGGAGCTGTTTGATCAACACGATGTTTAACAACATAACTAACCTTGACTCCATGTTTTTTAAAATGGCGGCGGCGTTGTTCTCACCTGCGTACGCATCATCAGCATCAAACTCCGGCCCGCTGCTGACGCTGGCAGAGTCCATGGACTGGACGCTGAGCGACTGCATGAGGTTCCTCAGCTGCTCGATGTCGCTGTCCTTACTGTCCAGAGCCATCTGCAGCTCGATGCGCATCTGGCTCTCCTCGGCGAGTTGCTGCAGGTGAGAAGCGATCAGGTGAGCAGCTCGCCGCCGTCTGGACCTGATGCTGGAACTGATCTGGGGTTACTCACCGCTTGCATCTCGTTGATCTCCTTCTGGTATTTGATCATGATGCTGTTGAGCTTCTCCTTCTCAGACCTCAGCTCCAGCTGCAGCTTCCTGTTCTCCTTCTCCTTTCGCCGCATGTCTGTGTCGTTGCCACGGCGACTGCCTCCACCACGTACCTCCTTCCTGTTCATGATCTCTGCCAGCTTATTGACGGCCTGTGGACGAGTTCCAGTCCTCTCGGGATTAAAACCAGGACACAGAGCGAGGACCAGTGGGATGAGGTCTTTAAATCCTCCCACCTGAGTTTTCAGCGTCCTCTCCGACTGCAGCTGCTTCTCAAACGTCTGCTTCATCTGGCTGATCTGCTGCTCCCAGTCCTTCGACTTATCCGAACCTACGAGAAACCAAACCGGTTACATCCTGACTAACTTTCGTGAACTTTTATTTTATGTTTTAATTAACCTTCAAGTGCCTCCTTCAGTTTGTTGTTCAGCTCCTCCTTCTCGTTGGCCAGGTTGGCCACGTCGCTGGTCAGCGTCCGATTGGCCTCCTCCAGCTGCACGTGGAAAAAAAAAGAGAAAACCTCCATCTTTTCCTGGTTCTGGTCAGATCCTCCTGCAGATTTTACTCCGCGTGTCTGAGACGTACCGAGCTGATGGTGATGTCCTTGTCAGAGAGCTCCTGACGATGGCGAGCCATCATCTCCTTCAGCTCCAGCTCCTTCATTATCTTCTCCTTCTCCAGGTCCGAGTACTGCTCCTCAGCGATGGAGCGGGCGAGCTGCTCCGAGTCCGCCTTTGTCAGCGTGATCTCCAGCTGAGCGGCCAAAGAATCCCTGGAAAAAGTCGGGAAACATGGATTAAACCCAGAACTTACAACAAATCCGAACGGGAAGACGTTCCGACGGTAAATCCACCTCTCCTCCTGAAGCTCCTGCAGAGCCTGCTGCACCTCCTTGTAGAGTTTGTTCTTCTCCTCACATTCCTCCTTCAGTTCTCGAACCTGCGTTTTATAAAGCGTCTGGAGGACAGATTCAAATAAAAACATGAAAACAGATCCCGGGTCAGTCGGGAGCGCTACGAGAAAACGCAGCTTTGATGATCATGTGATCATGTTTGAAATCGGGTCGTTCGGTTTAGAACCTTTAAAGTAAAACCGGTTTAATCCAGAATCATAAACTCACAGAGAAATACTGCTCCGCCTCCAGCTGGTCCTGGAGCTCCTTCATCTGTCCGTCTGCGTCTTGTCGTTCTCTGCACATAAAGAACAGAAATGAATGACTCGTCCATCGGGTGAAGCAGGTGGAGGCGGGGCCAAACGGACTTGCGCAACTCCTGGTTCTGCTTCTCTAAGCTGCCTTTGATGTCCAGCAGGTGGTTGGTTTCCTGTTTCAGCTGCTTCTCAGAGGTCCTCAGCAGGTTCAGCTGCTGGTTCTGGGTCTTCAGGTCGTTCAGGGTCAGGTTACGCTTCTGGGTCTCCTGCTCGATCTTCAGCGTCAGGTTCTTCACCTGGTGACCCGGTAACACCGTTAACGCTGGCGTTTAACACGCAGACACGTGAGAGGAGCGCAGACCCTCACCTCCTCGGTCAGCCGGTCTTTGTGCCGCCGCAGCTCATCTAGTTTTTGTAGAGCCTGTTTGTAGTCGCAGTCCATCATGCTGCTGTGCTTCTCCAGCTCCAGGATCCGGTTCTCCAGACGTAGCTTAGCTGCTCGCTCCTCCGCCAGCTTCTGCTCCATCTCTGCAGGAAGGATTCAGGTTTATCATCACATCCTAACCTGTAGATTCAGGATTTTATCTCCTATCGGCCGATCAGACAAAACCTGAGTATGAAAGTTTGGAATGATGGAAAAGTCTAAATTCATCTCTGACTGTGTGGATGGAGATGAATTCAGGAGCTTCACCCTTCATGGACTCCGACTTGGCGCCCTCGATGGTCACTTTGATCTTGCTCTTGTCTGCCAGCAGCGCTCTGGTGGCTTTATGAGAGGCCTCCTCCTGCTCCAGCTCCTGCTGTAAAACCTTCAGCTTGTAGGTCAGATCGATCTCCTTGCTGCTCATCTCCTGCAGAAATGCCCGCAGAGTTCCGGTCAGAACAAAAACCCAAACGGGTTTAAGGCCGTTTGATTCTGGTTCACCTTTTCCAGGTCGGTGAGTTTGTCCTGCAGCTGTCTCTTCTCCGTCTCCGCCTTGGACAGAGTCTGCTTCTGCAGCCGGGCCTCCTCCTCCAGACCAGAAATACGACCTGAAACACAAAAAGGTTCAGCGCCTGGAAGTGTGGTTCATTATCCACGCTTTGGGTCATTTTTAGATCCAAACCTTGGAGTTTCATCTATTTCAGCACCTTTGAAATTACACGCCAACATAAAAACGAGCCTTTAAGTTTACGGCGGACTAAAGAGAATCTCAAATCTGTTCCCAGAGGATCCCAGACCGCCCCGGTGGTTTACAGCCGGCTCTGGAAGGCCATGTTCACCGGTTGAATCCAGACTCTGAAGCACCTGCAGACATTTACACTCACCCATCAGGTCGCTGATGGTTTCCGAGCCCTGGCTGTGCTCCCTCCTCTCCGACTCCAGCGCCGCCTGCAGGCCGATGCAGTCCTTCTCCAGACTCAGCTTGTTGCGCTCCAGCAGGCAGCATTTATCCTGCAGCTCACGTACGTTGGCCTCCAGCTGCTGCAGCTGCTTGCTGCTCTCCGTCTGAGACTTACGGAGCCGAGTGGCGGCTTCGGACTCGGCCCGCAGCAACGTGTTGGCCTCCTCCAGCTGAAGGAACCACCATCAGAACCACTTTAGTAAAACCTTCTGCTTTAAGGATGTGATTAAGTCAAACTTAACATTCAAATGCAGTTTTTATATTTTACAACAAAACTTTTGATTTTAGTCAAAAAACTTTTAAACATCGGTAAAAAACAAACATTTATGTAAATAAAACCGATTTTAATGAATTAAACTGCAGCAGACCTGCTTCTGCAGGTGAATGTTCATCTCATTGGAAATGTGTGAATTCTGGTTTCTCCTCTTCATGTCGTCCAGCTGGTCTCGGAGGCTGTTGACTGCAGCAAACAGAAGGACACTGACTTATTTATTTAAACAGATTTTTATCACTTCGGTAAACAAAAACCAAGTTTAATCATCTCAATCAGCTGCTGTGTAGTTGCGGAGTTTGACCAGATGGGGGAGGTGTAGGCCAGATTTATCCTGATATGGGTGAAAATAACACTCAGGAATTATAATAAAAGCATGACGATGTAATCAGGCGTTGATGATTCTGGTGTCTGGAGGAATTCCAGAGTGTTCCGTACCTTCGTTCTCCAGGCAGCGCTTCCTGTCGGCTTCGCTCTCGGCCTTCCGGTGACTCTCCAGACTCTTGTGCTGCAGCAGAGCCTTTTCTCTCTCCAGCTGCCTCAGACCCGCCTCCAGGTTCTTCCTGCTGCTCACCTGAGACCCGTAAACATCAGCATGTCCAAGTCACGTAAATCAAACTCAAAGACTTTAAAGGGTCTTAACCAAACTTAACCTTCAACCTTTACAACTCATTCCAGTGAGAAAGTTAGTGAAAAAGAATGATTGGATAACATATTCTAAAAAACGGGCTGAGTGAAAGACTCGCCTCTTCCTCCAGTTCTTTGGTTATTTTTTCTAGTCGTATGTTTGCGGCTCTGCAGAGTAAAGAGAAGTCGGCGTTAATGACGGTCTGAGCGGTGTCTCAACGTTTTAACATCACCGTCGCTGTGCTTCCACACCTGCACTTGTTGTCCAGGTCGTCTTTCAGCAGCTTGTCGCTGCTCAGCTGAACCTCCAAGTTGTGAAGTTTCTTCAGAAGAGCCGCTGACTGGAAACAGAAAACGTCCAACCATCACATAACAGCCATAAAAGACGAGGAGGAAGCGCCTCCTTTCCTTTGAACCAGCTGATTCTGCTGTAGCTAACTAGCGCCAACGTTAGCCCGCGCGGAGTGTGTTTGCTAATCATGATTCAGATCAACAACAACAAAAGCAGAATAAATCTCACTGAAACTCCAACAAACATCAGGAAAAATAATCCGAGTCGTTTTCACCAGAATCTGAACACCTGACCCAAAGGGTGAGGCCATGAACACCAAACCATCAGCCTCCCGCCACCGTGTTCACAGCTGAGTCGTGTCAGCTGATATGCTGTGAAAGGGCTGCTGTGCATTATGGGTAAACTTCTCCAGACGTGGTTTGTTTAGACAATCGTCCTTTCATGACCTCTGAGGCCGTTTTAACACGTTTGAGCCTGGTTTTTGTGTTAAGACTCGTTGGTCTTTATCGTTCCGATGCGTGAGAACATGGAAATCTTTACCTCTCCCTTGGAATTGTCATGTGTCACTGAGGAGTTGTTGGCAGAACTCAGTAACCTAAAGGAAAAACAGAACAAAACAAGATCCTGAGGCTGAAACAGAGCCGCTAACGCTAACCCAGCAGGACAGGAGGAGGATTTACTGGTCTTCCTTGAAGTAGGTGAAGCCAACAAAGGGCAGCTGATTCCCGACAAACGCTTTAGGTGTTGGGAACGTTTCCACGTCGCCCTTATCATCTTCTATCTCATCGAAGTTGCTGGTGTCGATGTCGCTGCTGAGCTCCGGGACCACAGGAGCCACAGCTGATCAGAGCAAGAAAAAAATATTTAAAAAGACGTGAGGCGACCGGAAAACGGAGTTCAGCAGAAAAATAAAATTAAATAAACGTTTAACAACGTCTGATGTTTTATTGCACTGACCTGAGAGCCGATTAGGACTGAAAAGCTGCAGGTTAGTGATACTTACAGTCTCTGATGGTGTCGAAGGTCCACTGGTCATTTTTGAAGAAAGGGTGGCGTTTGATTTCCTCCATGCCGTTTCTGCCCAAACGCACCTCCCTAGAGACAGAAACAAGAGTCTGAATGGGCTTGATGGGACAGATTCACCCAAACAAAGCATGACTCAGCATCTCTGTTCTTACCGGTCGGTTAGAAAGGCACAGATGATGCTTTTGGCTTCTTTGGAGATCTCCACATCGTCAGGGAAGTTCAGGGAGTTCTTGTGGTCCATGATCTTACTGTAGGTTCCCACCAGAGAGTCGGCGTAAAACGGAGTGTCCCCTGACCGTAAAAACAGACTGCCTTAAAGGAAAATCCCTCAACACGTTTTCCGGTCCTTTTATTCTGAAGAGACTGACCCACGAGCATCTCGAAAATGAAGACGCCGACGGACCACCAGTCGCATTCCCTCCCGTAGTAACCGTCTCCTCCCTGAGACTTCAACACCTCTGGAGAGATGTAGTCCGGCGTGCCGACGGCGGTGTCACAGTGCACCATGCCCGTCTGCAGCACAGACGCCAAAACCATCATTAGTAAAAGCCTCCACCACTCCTGCTTCAGAGTTACCGGTATGCTTTTATAAAACTACGTCCAGGTGTGTTCAGACTTTTCGAATCAAATCAGGATTTCTAGAAAAGTTTTGTTTTCCATGTTTGGATAATGTTGATCATTTGGATCCTGGACCGTGTTTATAGGAACCACGTTTCTCTAGACGGAACAAATGCACGTCTGCTTTGTTTTCTTGAAATTTTGAATCTGTTCCGGTAACAATAATGTGTGATTTGTGTCAGGAGGGAGTAAAGATGGCCGCTGTAACTCACAGAGTCCATCTTCATGCACGTGCCGAAGTCGGCCAGCTTCAGGTGTCCGTGTCGGTCCAGCAGCATGTTGTCTGGTTTCACGTCGCGGTGGATGAAGCCCATGGAGTGAATGGAATCCAGAGCCATCACCACCTCGGCGGCGTAGAACTTGGCCCATTTCTCTGGCACATCGTAGGTGCTGGTGAGGTTGACCAGGTCTCCTCCTGGCATGTACTCCATCACCATGTAGAGGTAGTGCTCGTCTTGGAAGGCACAGCACAGCTGGATGTTCACAGGAGACGGCAGTTAGGTCTGAATTAACCCATAAACGTGTCTCTGGTTTTCAGACATCTGAAACACCAAACCAGAGTCAGAAATGTACCTGAACCACCCAGGGGCTGTTGGCAAACGCCATGATGTCTCTCTCCTCCCAGAAGAACGCAGAGTCGGAGCGTTTGATCATCTCAAACTTGCTCAGTAGCTTCAGGGCATAGACCTTCTGTGAGGCTTTGTGTCGGACCTGAACATTCAGAATCACACAGACTCTTTAGAACCAAACTCAAAATGCAGATTATGCAACAGTTAATTATATCTCCAGCTAAGTCAGCCATCTTTCAGCCACAGATTACGTTTGGATGCCAGAGGGAAACACCTTTTATGGGTTTCCAGGTTTAATTCAGATATTATCCAGATATGACAAAGTTCTACTTTTATTGTTGGAAACCCTTAAATTATCCTCTAAAAACGAAAACACGAATCAGGTTAGTTCTGCAGAATATTAAGGAAGACCGTGACATATTTGAGGACATCTGTACAGATGAATCCACCCAGGACTGGGTTCCTGCACCTTTCTCAAACTCAAATTCAAAAACTCTTTTCAAGGTAAGTGTTCTGTTTTCAGCACCTTTCAGCGCTGATTAAGACCAAGGTCGTGCACGATTTAGACAAACTGATACCGGTTTCTGAGTTTTGTGATCAGCTGATTCAGTCACTCACCAGCTGGACTTCTCCAAAAGCTCCTCGACCGATGATTTTAACTTTTTCAAAGTCTTCGGACTTCATCTGGAGGTCTCGGAGCTCCCCGATGACGTTCTCATCTTTGAGAATTAGGGAAAAAATGTAAGTCATAAAAATATAAATAATTAATTTACAACTACTTACATCTGTTCAAGAAGGTTTCAATGTTTTTATTCTTGCGTAGCGCCGGGTAGTCCAGGTCCAACACCAAGGCATTTATGGAGTCCTAAAAGGAATGAATCATGTTTATTTTACAGGAAACACAACGTGAATGGTTACATATAATCAGCTGTGAAGGAGGAAGGTGTCACTGAATCTAATTAAAGCTGAATAAGTTACCAAGCAGAGATACAGAAATGATTATTAAACAAAACTCAGCAGCTTGCTCTCCCGCTCCCTCTCCATCTTCCTCCTCTGACAGCTTTTATTAAAACACGGTAGCTCATCATCCTCTGCAGAAACCGACCCGTTGCATAAGAACCAGAACACACAGCAAACTGGAGCTGCACATCATGACCAAACACTTCTCCTCTGCAAGAGAAACTAAAGAGTGAAACTTTGTGCAACAAAATGAAAATAAATTTTTTATGAATGATAAAAAGGAGAAGAAAAAGATTTGAGCGTCTGATTTTACAGAAATGACCACAAACACAAACGCCACACGGACGCAATGAAGCTGAAACAAAGCATGACTAATTTCTCCGTCTGCGTGTTTATCTGCTGACAGACCTTGAGCACATGTCTCCTCATGACCTTTAGTCTGAGAGATAAGTCCCCTACACACACACACATGCATGCACAGACCCACACACACACACACACACACACGCATGCATGCACAGACCCACACACACACACACACACATGCATGCACAGACCCACACACACACACACACACACACGCATGCATGCACAGACCCACACACACACATGCATGCACAGACCCACACACACACACACACACGCATGCATGCACAGACCCACACACACACATGCATGCACAGACCCCCACACACACACACATGCATGCAGACCCACACACAAAAACTCACACTCGCGTGTGCGCACACACACACATGCATGCACAGACCCACACACACACACACACACACATGCATGCACAGACCCACACACGCACACACACACATGCATGCATGCACAGACACACACACACACACACACACACATGCATGCACAGACCCACACACGCACACACACACATGCATGCATGCACAGACACACACACACACAAAAACTCACACTCGCGTGCGCGCGCACACACACACTCACACGCACAGAACCCCCTCCCCCATACACACACACAAACGCACACATGCATGTATATACAAAAACTCACACACACACACAAACTCACACTCGCGTGCGCATGCACACACACACACACGCACAGACCCCCCACACACACAAACAAACTCACACATGCATATACATACAAACACACACACACACACACACTCACACATGCATGTACATACAAAAACACACACACACACACACGTATATACAAACTCATACATGCATGTACATACGAAAACTCACACACACACACACACACACACACACACACACACACACACACACACACACACACACGTATATACAAACTCACACATGCATGTACATACAAATACACACACACACTCATACATGCATGTACATACGAAAACTCACACACACACACACACACACACACACACACACACACACACACACACACACACACACACACACACACACACACACACACACACACACACACACACACACACACACACACACACACACACACACACACACACACGACATTTTGCAGCTTCTCTATTTCTACCACAACAAAAACAGGAACCATCTTACAAAGACTTTCAGGCCTTTTTCTAATTTAGTGTTTCTGATGAGTTTATTTTTAGTAATTTCCTGAAAGAGATTTCTCGAGTCCCACTAGAAAGTCTGACCAGACGGATGAACTGAAAGAAGTCATCAAAGTAAAGCGATCCAGACAAATTACTTGTAGACTAACATTGTGATTGGGGTCACAGATAATGGGACATCCCAGGCCTGAACTTCCTGTTCTGTAAACCGTTCCTTGTTTAAATACAAACAAAATTAAAATAAACAGACTTGTTGAAGTTTGTCTCTAAACTGTTCTGCTGCGGTTCCACAGATCAGAATCCAGTGATTGTTGGTGGATTAGCTACTAAAGTAAACTTACATGAAAATCAGAAGCTTTAAATAATCTGGTTAATCCAAATCCTCCAACTAAAGATGAATAATTAGCATAAACGGCAGCAGGACTGAGCTACGTTCCTCACACGTTTAATCTTTTTTATTGCAGATCTAAATAATCTAGGCTCTGGTAAAATACAAGCAGCTTTTCAGGAACTCATCTGAACCTGATTTAAAGGGACTCTAAGGAAGTGTGACAGCCAAAACATGTGTAGAAATAATAAATGTCTTCTTCATACGTTCTCCTGCAATGCCCTGGTCCTGTAGAATGAGCCCTGGCATTTTTACTGGGATTGCCCGTTTTTCTGTAAAATCACAGAAAAAGAGAGATGCTCGGGTCGAGCAGGCTGCTTCATGCGCGTTCACGCTCAGGCATCGCCCGTAGCATTTGCTATCCGTAGCTTTAGCAGCAGAGAGAGAGGCAGTGCCACTTTGTCGCTGTTCCTAATGCCTAGTGACAAAGCTAGCTACATTTCTGAGGACCCTTAGCTACTTTCTGTAGAACTTTCTTCTAGATATTTCCTGCAAATTAGCAACAAAATAGCCATTTTCACTCCGAACCGTTCTTTGGTTTGACGTTTCAGCTGTCATCAACGATATAAATGTTACAGATAAATATCATTGGTGCTTAAGCTCACCTAGTAAGATGTCTGACTTTCATGCAGAAGACCTGGGTTCCACTCCAGGTGTGAACATAATTTGTTATTTGGAGTTTCTTTTTTGCATTAATGGTATATTTTTTTACAGTAAGATGCCCAAATTTTTATTTGAGACTTGCCGAACGGCACTGAATTCACAGATAAAAAAGATGTGGGTTCAACTTTCATTTTGGAACAATTTTTCAAGCAAGGGAAGGGAATGATCTGAGCATGCAGGAGGACTGACCCATCATAAACCGTTGTCGGCTGTGCTGAAGAGAAAGGTACAGAACCACATTATTTAATTCATTAGCTGCGTTTTCTCCTGTCCTCTGTCCTCCGGGCCACACACACACCCACACACACACACACACACACTGCACGTTTGGCCAGCCGATGAGAAAGTGCTGCTGCAGAGACAGAGGCACATTGTTTGTATTAATTTGCTGTGTTCTTCTGTCCTCCAGGCCACACACACACACACACACACACACACACACACACACACACACACACACACACACACACACACACACACACACACACACACACACACACACACACACACACACACACACACACACACACACACACAGGAATGTCAGCTGTTATTTTCATTAAGGAGTGTGCACGTACAGCATGCACACCTCATGCAGCACAAGCTTACTTTTGAAGCTGCAGTTACGCGTTAGGCCTGAGTGGCGAATGCGAGCATAAAAACTTCAAACTTCCTTAGAGTCCCTTTAGACCATGATGTTAAATAAAGTTCTGTAACCTACTAGATTAGTTCAACATTTAAATGTTTTATTGAGCACACAAAAGTGTGTTTTTCTGTGGATGTCTGACCTCGGTTAATCTGAGGAAGTCCTTACCACAGAAAAGCACCAACTGATGCTAACCACTAATCGCTATGGCGACGGACAATAAGGAAGCCATCTGTCAGCTTGTGGCAGTTCAGCATTTCATAAGACTCAGTGAAGAGTGTACAGATCGGACCCTCAGTGTGTGTGTGTGTGTGTGTGTGTGTGTGTGTGTGTGTGTGTGTGTGTGTGTGTGTGTGTGTGTGTGTGTGTGTGTGTGTGTGTGTGTGTGTGTGTGTGTGTGTGTGTGTGTGTGTGTGTGTGTGTGTCAACCTTCTTCACCCCCCTTTGAACTTGTTTCTTAAACTCTCTCTCTCTTCCTGTTCTCTCCATCGCTCTGCAGTGGCGAGCTGCATTTCTCATCTCAGCTTCACTTCCCCATTAAAGGACTGACCTCATACAAAACTTCTATTTAAGGAAAAAAATACACACCACGGGGGGTGGGAGTGGGGTTGCCGGTTACACACACACACACACACACGCGCGCACACATGTGCGTGCACGAGGATCTCCCAGCGAGCATGGCAATACAGGAAATGATCCACCCCACCCCAGGGCCGGCGGATAATTTCTCTGTGTCATGAAGCTGATCTCTGACTGCAGCTATTTCCTCTGAAGCTGCAGAAGGAAAACTGCAGCATTCATGTGCACATAAATGCAACATGCATGCTTAGAAAATAAAATCTCTTAATATTTAGCACCTGATTTCTGCAGCGTTGTGTTTTAGAATGCTCAACTATGTGATAAAAAGCAGCTCGAACTGATTAAGTACGTTATTTATCGTTTACGATCAGTTTTGATGTTATCATGGAGTGTAACGCCTCTTTCCTTCTACCTGCAGCAAATCTGGATCATCTCTGTGCATCACATAGAAACACTATCAGCTTCTAGATCACTAAACCAACAGAGAAAACATAGATCATGCTTTCGGTTTCCAGTTCTACTAAAAATACAAACAAGTCTTTCTGAGAAGAGCCGGCTGATTGGCTGAGGGAATAGTTCAGGTAAATGAGAGCTTCTTGAGTTCCGGCTGATAAATCCAGCATGATCACTACGAACGTGTGGACCGTTTTCTCAGACAAATATATTCAAAGCACGTGATTTATGATTTCGTTCATGTGAAGTCAGAGGAGCTCCTCGGACACATCTGTGATGAGGGCCGGTCACAGTCATCTGGAAACAAACGTTTGTTGTGTGTTGGTTGTTCTTTTAAACAAACCATTTACATAGCAACAAATGAAGGTTTACAGTAATCAAACTGCAGCATCTCATGACAGTGATAATCAGCCTTAAATACCCTCATCTAAATCTACTACTTTAATTCCAGATTCACGGATTCTCGAAGCAGATTTCCAATTCTTGACTCGTTATCTCAAAAAACAACAACAACAAAATTTTAAAGTCCGATTAACTTTCTAGAAAATGTTTGCCATTATTTTTTGTTCATCTCTAGATCTAGAGGGGTAAAACTTAAGTTGATCCTT